CCTCTTGGCTGCCCCCGCAGAATTAACCAAGCTTCTCCCACCCCCACGGAGCAGTTAGACAAAGCGGGCTCGTTGCCGAAGAAGAGCAACCTCTGTTGTAGCACTAAACCCTCCAGAGAAATTTATCCTCAGAAACTTTCTGCCAGCGACGTAGCAGCAGAGCGTCTGCAGTGGTGACGGAATGCCGGGACACATGGCTTCCCACGGTGTCCTTTAACAAGGAGCAGAGAGAAGGTCTCAGCAGGGAATGGTGGTTTGTGTGTGGTTTTACGATGTCGTCGTCTGATCATTGACTCGATGTAGGAGCAGCAAGTAGAGAGGGTCCAGGCCGAGGCGGCTGGCCGCTCTCCACCGGCCCTGAATAACAGTCCTCTTTGCGGATATTCGACAACTGCTGGAGAGCAGGCAACAGGCACAATGACACACTGCCCCCCGTAGCTGGCCTGACCTATGGCACAAGTCTTACCCATCAGCACACTGGAGAATTCCCGCCCCAGATGACAGCTCGGGCTTTGGCACAGCTGATATGCGACTGTTCTCGTGGGGTTCGTTGGAAAGAGCCGGGCCTTTGAGCCAAGTCGGACTTGGGTCCGGGCCCCAGCTCTGCCGTTTGCTGGCCATGTTGCCCGGAGCCCATCACTCAGTTGTCGAGAAGCCTTAGTTTCCTCACCCGTGAAATGGATCTAATAGCACTACCCCGCAGGGTTGCTGTGGAACTGTGGGCGCCGTGGGCAGAGCGCCTGGCAGGGTGGAGCGCTTGGCACGTGCCCGCTGGCCTTCTCCCCGTGACGGCTCTCGTGAGGGTAGCTATGGAAGGCGGTGGAGCAGGAGGGAAAGACAGATGTGTCACGGGGACAGGAGAGGCCTTGATCCCCTGCCCCCATCCATTAAGGAGTGTCATCACGTTTTTGGGAAGAAGGTAAAAAGGAGGGGGCCAGGACATGGCCCTGTGTGTACATTTAGGGTCAGCAGTTTCTCTACCCAGAATTCCTCCCTCCACCTCCGGGTGTGCAGATAAAGGGCGTGGGGTTGGGCAGCAAGGTTCACAGCCGGCCCACGTGACATCTGGCCTAGGATGACCACTGTGGGCAGGGGAGCGGGGAGACGCGGGCATGGGTGATTAGGGGCCTGGGGCTGGGCCCAGCCGGCATGGCTCAGTGGTTAAGCGTCGATCTATGAACCAGGAGGTCATGGCTCGATTCCCGGTCAGGGCACATGCCCAGGTTGTGGGCTCAATCCCCACCGTGGGTCATGTAGGAGGCAGCCGATCAGTGATTCTCTCTCATCATTGATGTTTATATCTCTCTCTCCCTCTCTCTTCCTCTCTGAAATCAATAAAAATATATTTTTTTAAAAAAGAGGAAGCTGGGTTGTGAAGAGACCCAAGGTGCTTTGAGAAATAAAAGGCCAGCCAATTTCCAGCAAAGTCCAGGGAAACTGGCCAGTGGGCCCTGTGTGCAGAGAAGGGAGAGGGCAGGGCAGAGGTTGGCAGGGGTGAGGGAGGGGCCAGTGACGTAGGTATGACAGGTAGGTTGCTAAACAGCCCAGTGGAACCTCACACCAGCAAGCCCTCACCTGAAGTGAGGAGGCCAGAGATGGCAGGCCTCCTTCCAGTTGTCCGATCTCGAGCAGAGATCTTGCAGCCACCTGCACCATCCTGTCTTGGCTGCCACCTGCCTCCGTTTCTCCTGCTCTAAGATGAGATGGACAATGCCTGCGTTGTTGGGTTAATTTAGTGAGGAAAACACAAACATTGTTTTTATTGGAACACTCACAGGTTTGAATGGAGAAGCTGCCTCTGCTCAGCCTTCTTGAGTCAAAAGAATGGAGTGTATCTTTGTCTCCTTTGCCCTTGATTCTCACTTTTTTTTTTTTTTCATTTTCTGCACGTCCTGAGGTGGCGGCTAAGGCGGGCTGGAAGGGGATGCCACTAAATTCTCATCGTTTTCAGCCTGCGTCCTGCGTGGCCGTGGGAAAGTGCTGCCACCTGGTGGTCACTCCTGAGCATAGCAGCCCAGCAGGGATACAGGAACAAGCCTTTCGGGCACTGGAAGCGGCTGCCTGCAAGCTTCTACCCACTGAGACTCGTGTAGTTCGAATACCTCCTCACTTTCCGAGGGCCCAGAACCTGGAATAAAGGGTTAGCTGAACCCTTGTATAGGTCCTCCGCTAGGGCCGGGGACCTGGCACACCCTGGGTGGGTGTGGTGCCTGGAGCGGTTCCCCTTTGCTGGCAGGATTTCCTGTTACTCAGAGTGAAGGAACCTTCACACACACACACACACACACACACACACACACACACACACACACTCCATCCCACACTGGCTCTAAGGGCGTCTCCTGAACTCTGCAGGTCTCAGGAGTCCCTGCCTCTTGGGCCACAGCTGGATTGGCTCAAGTCACTGGGCCCCAGTAAGAAGTCCCCTGGGGACAGTGGCTCCAGGCCAGGCCCCTGGAGGAAGCCCTCTAAAGGGCCCAGCCTCCCCCCTCTGGCCTGATGGAACGGCAAGGAGAGTGGGGTGCTGGGAGCGGGGAGTAAAGGCTGGCCACCTCCCTGGGCTGACTGTGGGCCCTCGTCCTTTCTAAGCCCCTGCCGTTGGCTAGCAAGACTAAAGCTCTGTGAGGCTTTGGGGAAGTCGCACGGAGCCAAGAGGAAGTGAGCAAACTGATTTTGTGCAACTCTGCAGGCAGCAGTGAGTCCGGGAGAGCCAGCCCCGCAGAAGCAGCCACCTGCCGCCTGCCCAACATCCTGTCTTGGCTGCCACCTGCACCAGCCGTGGGGCCTGGCCTCCCTGCCTGGGCCCCGCTAACACTGCCTCTTGCTGCCTTTGCAGGCTGGCTGCTGGGGTTCCCCAGGCTGCTCTGAGAAGCTGCAAAGTATCTGATGAGTCTCTGGCCAGCCTCTTGGGATGTTAAGCAGAACTCCAAGGTCAAGGCTGCAGGCTCGTGGGTGAGCCCTTCCTTGGTCAGGAGGCTCCGGCCCAGGCTGGGGATAGGTGAGGCCTTTCCCCAGGACTCCAGTGGCCTTTCCTCCCACAGCCTTGCCTCCTCCACCAAGTTCAGGTTCTTTAGTAGAACTGAAACCAACATGACCCTCCTTTTATGGGAAAATCCCTGAGCCACGTTTCACTTGTAGTTTATTATTTAGAACTAGAGGCCCGGTGAACGAAATTAGTGCACTGGCGGGGGCGGGGGGGGGGGGTGTCCCCTCAGCCCAGCTTGCCCCCTCTCACAGACCAGAGCCCTCAGGGGATGTCCTACTGATGGCTTGCCTCTGTGGGAGGCAACTGGGCTGATCAGGGGAAGGCGCCACCCCCATCACCCCACTGCTGCTGCCACTGCCAGCCGCCGCAGCTGCCAAGGTGTTTTCATCAACATGGACTCCAGTCCCTTCACCACAAAAAAATGACAACTTTCTTTAGGCATTTTCAAGATGTCTCTTTCAAAGGATATGACATGTCTTTCTTTTTTTTTTTTTTTTATCCTCACATGAGGATATTTTCCCATTGATTTTTAGAGAGCGTGGAAGAGAGAGGGAAATACAGAGAGAAACATCAATGTGAGAGGGACACTTCAATTGGTTGCCTCCTGCATGAGCCCTGACCTGGGCCCCAGCCAGGGAGGAGCCTGCAACCTAGGTACATGCCCTTGATCAGAATCGAACCTGGCCATGGGGCTGGGGCTGGGGGGGCCGGGCCCCCTGCGTGTTGTTCTCTTCAGCTTCGGGGCCAGGCCCGGGCCACCCTGTCTGTTGTTCTCTCAGGCTCTGGGCCCCCACCAGGCCCCTCCTCAGGAGCTGGTTGTGACCGTTAGGGTGACCCAGCCTAATTTGCATATTACATCTTTTTAATTTATATATAATTCTTTTTGGCATCTTGGTCCAATGGAAGCTTTTCTTTCTGGCCCAGGGCTCCCTCGGGGCCCCAGCCCCAGTGGCCGGTGTGTGTGTGTGTGTGTGTGTGTGTGTGTGTGTGGTGTCTGTCTGGTTCCTCCCCCTCTTCCTAACTCAGAGCTGGGGCCCGACCTGCTTTACACTTGCGCTTCACTCCCATGGTCTTGGCCGCTTCTTTCTTCCCCAGACGTGAGGTTAACCTCCTCCTGACAACACAGCACCGTCAGACCGGGGGGCTCCTTGTGCCAGCAGTTCATTTCTCGTTAGACTGAGCGCCCACCACCCGCCAGGCCCTGCGAGGGGCAGGCAGCAGGCAGGAAAGTAGAGGCACTGCCCTCCAGAGCTCGCAGGAGAAACTCGGCACCTCGGGGCTCCAGGAGGGGGGCGTCTGGGGCTTTCCCCCAAGGCCTGGTTTCAGGGCAGCCTGGAGGGAACAGGGCTTGTTTTCTAGGCAGAGGGGCGGGGGCCTCCCTAGCGGGCCCAGAGCGTGTGCACAGGGGCAGGAAGTGAAAGCTGCCTCCAGCCTCGGGGATCCGCCCGCCTGGTGGCCCGCGGTTTCTGGGAAATCAGGCGACAGGAGGCTGCAGGGCCGGGAGACCCCATTGCAGAGGGTCCCCTGGCCATTCCAAGGAGTGTGGACTTGACCCTGAGGGCCGCTGGAGGCTGTGGGGGAACCCGGCCGCTGGGGTGGGTTAGGAGGGTGAGGAGGTCCCGGCACGAGGTGATGGGGCAGCTACTTAACCAGGACTGGTGGCGGCCTCCTGTCCTCTGTCCCCTGCACCTGTTGGCGGAAAGGACACTCAGGCCCCGTCCTAGGCCCAGAAGGGAAGTGACCCTGAAAGCTCTCTCTGCTCAGAACACGTAGAGCAGTGGTTCTCAACCTGTGGGTCGAGACCCCTTTGGGGGTCGAACGACCCTTTCACAGGGGTCACCTAAGACCATCGGAAAACACATATATAATTACATATTGTTTTTGTGATTAATCACTAGCTTTAATTATGTTCAATTTGTAACAATGAAAATACATCCTGCATATCAGATATTTACATTACGATTCATAACAGTAGCAACATTACAGTGATGAAGTAGCAACGAAAATAATTTTATGGTTGGGGGTCACCACAACATGTGGAACTGGTTTAAAGGGTCAGAGCATTAGGAAGGTTGAGAACCACTGACATAGAGGAAGGCGTCCCCGCCCAGGAGGGGAAGTCCCAGGTCGGCACAGGGAATTCTGGAGACAGAATCCCAGGTGTGAAGAGGTGGCTTGGTCGGTGGCCCCAAGCGTGTCCCCTGCCTCTCCTGTATCCCATGGGTTAACGTCTCACGGGCTATCCTGTCCCCACCACGCTGCTCTTGTGACTGGTGCTGGGACAAAACCCCTGCCCGTGGCTTCTCTCACTCAGCTGAGATGGCCAGGTCTCCGCTGAGCAGGGCTCCCCTGGGCACAAAGGGGAAGGGAGGGGCAAGGATGAGAACAGGCGCCGGTCAGGGGCTGGCTCCGAGGCTCAGACACTCTCCCCGGCTGCCACCACCTCTCCATAGGCACCTAAGGCTTCCTTCTAGGAGCTGTGTCACCCGCCAGCTCCCCAACACAGAGCCCCCGCCGCCCTCGGCAGCCAGGCTGGGTGCGAGCAGACCCTGGATGCCAAGGCCCCAGGAAAGCTGGGCTGTCCCAGCCCCACAACCAGGCAGTGTACCTTGCCTCACCCTCCTGCAGGCTCGTTGGTGCCCCTGGGTGGGAGGAGCTGGGGGGAGAGTGTGTTTTTTAGAGTGACTCAAAGGTCACCACAGCGTGAGAACAACCCCCCACCCCCCATCCACACGGCTTCCTAGACATGGCTCCTGTGACTTCCTTCTCCGAGGAGAGATAAGAGAGCGGTTTCAGAGGAGACGTTGACAAGTGGCCACGTGGAAGCCGGTAAGGGACGCAGTCAGAGGCCCCTTCGTGTCTGGGGAGTCGGCTCAGGGAGACGGGGCAGGGCAGGCACTCAGATAGACGTGGACCCGCCAGCCTGGGGCGCAGTGGGCATCAGTGAGTGGGAGGGGACCCTGGCCGGCCCCAGCAGAGGCATCTCGCCAGCACCCAGGGCCAGGGGCCAGTTAGCAAGCCCCAGAGCCGCACTTAGTGGGTCGGGCAATGCATTTGGGGCTGTGCATAGGTTGGTGCTTTAAGGTAAACATTCCAAACCCTTTAACCCACTGTGTGGGCTGAGGCTCAGCTGTTTCTGTAAATGACCCCTTTGGGCGGCACAGAGAAGCACCTGAACTAGGTGGCCCTCGAATAGCAATCGCCCCGAGTGTCTGGTTCCCAGGAGCGGAGACCAGGTGAGCAACTTCAGGGATAGGGCCCGATTCCCAGACAGACACCTGTTCCTCGGGCTGGGGGTGGGCTTCGGGGCACGTGAGGGGCAGGGGATGCCCTGTGATCAATGAACACGTTGCTCTTTCCCTCCTTTCTGCGTGGCCGACCATCCTGTCGACCTGCTATCCCTCAAATAGGTTTGACACAGGTGGTTGTATGGCGGGGTGCGGGCTGGGAAGGGGTGATGGAGCAGACATGATGCTATGGGACGTGCTGCATCTTCTGAGCAGGGAACCTTAGCTTGTCCCCGTGACAAAAGATCTTTGATATGAAGGCCGGGTTGCCCCTGTGCCCAGCAGAGTGGATGGTTTATAAACAAGAGGCTGGGAAGTTCAAGATGAAGGCTCAGGCAGACTCCGTGTCTGATGGGGACCCACTTCCTGGTTCATGGATGTGGGAGGAGCTCTGTGGGGTCTCTTATAAGGACCCTGATCCTATTCATGCGGGCTCCACCCTCATGACCTTATAATCTCCCAATGACCCTGCCTCCATATACCATCGTCTTGAGAGGTGGATTTCAATGTGTGAATTTTGGAGGGACACACAGTCTCTATGCTCTATGTACAGTAGGAAGAGTAAATTCTGGTTAAGGTGAGGGGCCTGCCACCAAAGACCACTTCTTGTTCCTCTGTGTGTCCGTTTGCCTCATTGTCACGGGATTTTTTGCTAAACCAGCAGAAAGCCAGAATAGTTCACTGTCAGTGCTCCCAGCGCCTCTCCCACCCCGCGCTACGCTAGCGATCCAGCATCCGGTCCTGAGTGAAGAATGCTGAGCCTTCTCCAAGCCACTCACACGCTCTCCTCCGTCCTCTCCATCTTCTTGCTGAGGGTCCCTGGCTCTGTGCTTCCTCTTGGCCCATCTCACTTCCTGAAACGCGCTGAAGAGGGCTGCTTATCTTGATGGAGCTTCGTGAGCCCTACGGGACAGGGGAAGGCGGAGTCCTTGAGCGCATCTGTCTGGGGAACTAAGAGCGACAGCTCTTTCAGATTCAGCCCACGAAGCTTTTGGGAGCCCAGGGATGTGTGGCCGGCAGAGGGGCTGGAAGTGAGCCCTGTGATGGGCTCTCTTTAAGGAGCGGAGGTCCTCCAGGGGCGCGCCCCACCAGAGACCAGAAGGCATGGGCGAGTTGTGAGTTGTAGACTGTGGCTGCTGCACCTGGACCTCCAGCAAGAGCTGAGCTCCCCGGCACGCCCGGAGCCTGTTTGTGCACCTGTCACCCGGGAGGCTCCTCTGGGAAACCAAGATGCCTGTCAACAGCACCACCCTGACGTGGGCCAGCATATTCTACATCATCATGGAGATTGTCATTGGGGTCTGCGCCATACTGGGCAACGTGCTGGTCATCTGGGTGGTCAAGCTGAACCGCAGCCTGCATACCACCACCTTCTATTTCATCGTCTCCCTAGCCCTGGCTGACATTGCTGTTGGGGTGCTGGTCATGCCCCTGGCCGTTGTCGTCAGCCTGGGCCTCACGGTCCACTTCTACAGCTGCCTTCTCATGACCTGCTTGCTGCTGGTCTTCACTCACGCCTCCATCATGTTCTTGCTAGCCATTGCTGTGGACCGATACCTGCGGGTCAAGCTCACGGTCAGGTAACCGGCTTGAAGAGGGGTGGGGTGGGGCGGTGATAGAGGTGCCTGGGAAACGGGACTGCAAGGTTCAGGTCCCAGACTTTTTGAACAAAAGCAAATCCAAACTGGCCCCTGAGCCCGAAAGAGGCTCATTTCACCACTTGGTGTGTGAGGGCTTCGGCAGTGACGAGCTGAGACTCAGGAGCGAGAAAGAGGAATCCCTGTCCAGGGACTCGGGGCGTATGCGCTCGATCAGCCAGGGGAGCCAGCGACGATCAAAGCTTGATGCATTTTTCATTAGTAAACAACGCTCTTGACTTTTAGAAGCGGTAGAAACCTGCTAGATAAGATAAGGAACAGACATCTAAGATAAGCTCACGCTTCTCTTCTTTGCAAATAACTGTAGGTTATTTTAAAGTTGCTTCCACTTTGCTTCCTCCTCCTCCATGTCAAGAAGGGGACCAAAAAAGTTCCCCATTGCACAGAATAGTGACAATCTCTCATGTGACCAAGTGAATGGAACAGACCACCAAATGGAGGAATCCGGTTCCCCCGACTGCATGTGTCTCGTGTTCCTCCTCTCTCCTCTCGGGGAAGGAGCATGGTGAGGGAGCTGCAGACAAGCTTTTGACACAAACAAGCCTGGGTTCAAATCCCAGACCCTGAAATCTGATCTTGGGCGTAGGATAGAACTTTCTCTCCTTCGGTTCCTCATCTTACCACATAATGGTTACGATGCTCTGCGCCTTACCTCTTTTCAGTGTGAGCTTCTCCACTTCTGATCTGTAGAAGTTACTTAATTTTTCTCACCTATAAAAGGGGGACAGCGATTGTACCTTCCTCATAAGATGAAGTGGATTGACACACGCAGAGCTCTTAGAACAATGCCTGGCCCACAGTCTAGGCTCAATAAATGGTAACCCTACTATTTATTTTCACTGTTATTAATGAAATGGAGATTCTCATACAAATTGTGAGATTTCATTAAGAGAAAGTCTACTAAGTGCACAGTACTTACCAACGTCAGTGCCCTTCTTGCAGTCTGTGCAGAACGTTGTCAGGAAGGACGGGTTAAGGAGAAATGGCGACTCTCAATGGATGAGCATTTATGGTCCTGGAAGCATTTCAACATGACCTTCCCAACTCCACGGAGTCACTGAACTCAAACACCAAGTGTGGTGTCAGTGTAAGGAGAAAAGCAGGGTATTCAAAGAAAGAGGGGGTGTGGGGGAGGCAGAGTATAATTAAAGGACACCAGAACAAAAAAGTAACCCAACGAGCAAACAATGCAGGCAAACATGCTTGGAGATGATTTCTCACCAGGTAGGCGATCCCAGGAGACTTAGATGACTGACTCTTACCTCCCAGGAACTGAAGAATTCTTGGGCTGGAAATGGACTTGTGAGTGCAGCGTGTGAGCACCTGAGTCCAGGTAGCATAATCCTGATCCATTATAGGTCATACTTCCTTTTAAGTATGTTTTTATTATTATTTATTTCAGAGAGAGGAAGGGAGAGAGAGAAACATCAATGATGAGAAAGAATCACTGATCGGCTGCCTCCTGCACACCTCCTACTAGGGATTGAGCCCGCAAACCGGGCATGTGCCCTGACCGGGAATCAAACCGGTGACCTCTTGGTTCAGAGACCGGCACTCAACCACTGAGCCATACAGAGAGGACCAGATCATGCTTCTTTAGAAAGCTCCCCCAGAGAGGTTTTCGGATTTTTTTCTAATTGTTGTCTGTTCATCTTGTCTTCATATCCAGTAGCATTTAGCCAAAATCATCATAGAATAGCAACACTCTCCATTCCTCTCTCCTTGACCAGCTCTGCCTCCCCCCCACAACCCGCCCACCCCGTCCTTTAGGAAATGCTGTGAACTCACCCACTCTCTCCCATCCAAACAGATACAGGAGTGTCACCACTCAGAGGAGAATATGGTGCGCCCTGGGCCTTTGCTGGCTCCTGTCAATCCTGGTGGGGTTGACCCCCATGTTCGGCTGGAACATGAAACTGTCCCCGGGGCCCCCCAGAAATGTGACCTTCCTTCCTTGCCAGTTCCGTTCGGTCATGAGGATGGACTACATGGTGTACTTCAGCTTCTTCACTTGGATTTTCATCCCCCTGGTTGCCATGTGCGCCATCTATATGGACATCTTCTGTATCATCCGGAACAAACTCAGTCTGAACTTTTCCAGCTCCAGGGAGACAGGTTCATTTTATGGACGGGAGTTCAAGACGGCCAAGTCCTTGTTCCTGGTTCTCTTTCTGTTTGCCTTGTCCTGGCTGCCTTTATCCATCATCAACTGCATCATCTACTTTAATGGTGAGGTGCCCCAGGTGGTGCTGAACTTGGGCATCCTGCTGTCTCACGCGAACTCCATGATGAACCCTATCGTCTATGCCTTTAAAATAAAAAAGTTCAAGGAGACCTATTTCTTTATCTTCAAAACCTGTATGAACTGCCAGCCCTCGGATTCCTTGGACCCACATATTGAACAGATTTCTTAGTAGTTATCCATGAAAGATGATTGTCTGACCTTCAGATTCAACATCAACACACAATTCAGGTCCTATCCACCTGGGCCGAGGCCTTTCACATCCGTGATTCCTCCCACTGATGTGGGAAGCATTTGGCCGGCTGTCTCCGATTGTACCTCTTCTACTACCCTCTGCCTCTAATTTGATTTTTTTTCCCCTTTGTCATTCCTCCCTAATTCAATTCTCTGGATGCCTGACTTGAGTACAATGTTCTATTGTTAATATTGCCCGTGTTCCTCCTCCCCCCAAAAGAAGTCACAGAATCTGAAGGATGCCTCATTGATTTACTGATAAAAGGTCCCATTCAGGCTGGACATGCCTGTGGTGGCGACTCCGTTCCACTCCATGGACCCTGCTCTCAGCAGATGCCCGGGAGACGGTGGGGACAGGAGTGAGCTGAGTTTAAGGGGATACTTACACTGCCAAATCCATCTGTAAATGTATCTGAGTCAATAAAAGATGATGACCAACGATTGTGGAGCTCTTTGCTGAGGGCCAGGGTCACTCAGGGCTTGAAGATCCAGCTCTTGGCATTCAGCCTACTTGCTACCTGGAGCCACGCGGCATGCTCACCTGTGTGAATTCTGGGCCCCTCACTCCTTACCCCAAGACACTCCGCTCCCTTTTCCTGGGCTGATCAGAACACTTGTCAACTTTATGATCCATTCTCGGATTGATAAGGAAGGAACGATTCTCCCTCTAGAGCTGAGTCCTAACATTTCCTCTGGTGTTTCATTGTAATGGGAGTAGTGGGGGCAGGGCAAAAAGAGACAAGGGCATAGTTAGTATCTGTTGGGTACTTTCGATGCACTAAGCACTGCGCATGCATTATCTTTTTAGATCTTGACCATCTTTGAGGTAGGTACCACCAGTATCATCATCTCCATTTTGCAGACGAAAGAACTGAGAGGTTAGGCAATCTGTCTATAGTCATGCAATTAACAAGCAGGAGAACCAGGATATAAACTGACTCCTGCCTTATGGGAGGACCCCGGCTTCTCACCACCTATTCTCAGACATGAAGAGGAACTTGGAACTACTCCAAAGCCCAAACTCTCAAGTTCACCTAATGGACAGTAGCAGATGCATGGACACAAGCTACAATTTGTGTACTCGAGGGCTGCTGGCTTTTGTTTGTTTGTTTGTTCCTTAGTTATATCTTTTAAAAAAATATGTATATTTTATTGATTTTTTTTTTTACAGAGAGGAAGGGAGAGGGATAGAGAGTTAGAAACATTGATGAGAGAAACATCAATCAGCTGCCTCCAGCACACCCACTTCTGGGGATGTGCCCGCAACCAAGGTACATGCCCTTGACCGGAATCAAACCTGGGACCCTTCAGTCCACAGGCAGACACTCTATCCACTGAGCCAAACCGGTTAGGGCCTTAGTTATCTCTTAAAAATCAGGACGCCACACAGGGACAGAGTTTAAGTCACATCCTTCAAGCACTGAGTGTGGCTTTGGAGAGTCAAGTTGACATCTCTGGTTTGTCCACCCAAATTCACATCTGTGGACGCTCACTCCCAAGACAGTAAGTACATTGGCTTGATGAGAGCCGCCAGATGGGGATTTCAATGAAACCATGTCCCAGAGGGTAAGTGGCTGAAACGGTTTTTATTAATTCTTAGCCAGTCCTGAAAGTTTCTCCGAACCGCCGTCTTAGACTGGAGCCTGATGATCATGTTTATCTGGTTAACATTTCAGGGAAGGGTTCTTGTTTCTCCTCCTGTCACCCCAGGAGGAATCAACACTGGGAAGTTCAACTTGGTCACCCCACCCGCCCACTTCCTGGCGTCACTCACAATCATATCTTGCAGGCAGAAGACTGGAACATCCACCCCTCCCCCCCCCGCCCCGTTCCTGTCGGTCCCTGGGAGTGGCATATGGCTTTATTCCTGACAATCTCTCCCTTTCAACATTTTGGGGGATATTTTTCCTTAAGAATTGCACCCACTGCCCAGGCTTTTTTCTTAGTGGTATCCACTTATTCGAGTCAAGGCTTCCCCCGCTGAATTAAATGTCTGCGTGTAGCTAGAATGCCCCTCCGGGACGAGGCCCTGGGCTTCCTCTGGGGCTGCTGGTGACCCCCCCGCACACTGTTCTGCCCAGGAACCACCTTTCCCAGTTGGCAACTTGAGGGGAGGTACTGGTTCCTTCTCAGTCCCCACTGGTCTTCACACGAGCTTCTTAATTTGCAGTCTCGAACTTCATTGCTGTAGCAACACTCAGCATCAGCCCCTTTTGGAAACTTGATATGAAGTGATCATTTCCCGCCAAACAAGACAGCCGTCTGTCCAGGGTCATCTGATGTCATCCTAGGGGCTGTAGCTCCTGAGAGACAGAAAAACACTTTTTTTTTTCCCTTTCTCCTCCTCCTCTCCTCTTTTTTTTTCTTCCCAATGGAGCTGACTTTTTATTTATTTTTTGGTCATGTGGGTGTCTCCTGAGCTAAGGTGTTCCACCAGCCCAGAAATAGCCCTTAAAGTGAAAATGTCCCTTGGAGTGCATTCAAAAAAGATGAACCGAGAATCACAGGTGAGGAGCTTGGGTAGAAGTGATGAGTTCCACGCTGGCTTCAGGTTTAGAGGTAACGTCACAGGGTCTCCCCGACTCTACCTCCCGGCTAGTTCCCTCTGGGCTGCACAGCAGAGGGGAGCTATTGGGCTTTTATTCTAAAGGAATAAAGTGGGAAGACCACCCCGACAAAACGAAGTTGCTTCCTCCTCCCTGTATGATTTCCCTGGAACAAAGACAGATATTGAGTAGCTGGGTCAGTTTGCCCAATGTTTTATCAAGTCAGCTATGGAAATAAGCTAAGACCAGATGAGAAAAGCAAAGGCCATTTCTTCTGAGTCTACGGTAACAAGGGAGTCAGCCACCACCGAGCGTCTCGGCAGAGACTAGAGGGGGCGGAGCAGTGGGGAAGCTCTATTTTGGGAGAAAAGGAGGCTTCGGGGCCTGGCTGGAGGCTGTTGTCCTGGGGAGCTGCAGGCGGGCTAACTGCAGGGGCGCCTCCTGTGCGCTTGGTTAGGGGAGCATATTGGCCTTTCTCTGGCTGGCCCCAAGTCGGAGGCAGGAGAAAAATGTCGGGGAGCTGTCAGTTATTATCAAGTCCTGGCCCCTTGGGGCTGATGGTTGATGGGTTATTGTTGGGCGGTCTGGGCTAGTACTAGCTTCCTGCTCGTCTGACTGCTAGCAGGCTGGTCCCTGGGCCTCTTACTGTAGATAAGGGGCTGGTTTCCTGGGCTGGTTGTGGGCCTGCTCACATGTTGCAGATGCCACCGGGCACATCTGCTACTGACAGCTTCATGTTCCACCCCTGACACCACCCCCCAGTGAGGCTTCTGTGTCCACTCGGGAGTGAGGGGAGCTAGGAATCTCCTTGCTAGTCTTCCTCTGCGCTAAAGAGGACTTGGGCCTCCAAGAGTGGTGGATGGACCCGAGGAGTGGCCTCTGGGATACTCAGAGCCTTGCCAGGGCGAGGCACAGCTGCACACACGAGCATGTGCCAGCCACGGTGTGCCCATGTGCTCTTCTGATTGTGTCCGGGTGGGTTTGTCCAGGATGGGGATCTCCATTCCTGCTTGGGGCTCTGCCCGGAAGCCCAGAATTTTCTCAGTTGCCCCACTTTATTCTATACATTCACGTCCATGAATGGCATTCCTCCGATGAGGTACCCTCATGCCATGCACAACCTGGACACCTGAACATGGCAGCAGTGCCTGGATTAGCCAGTCGTTCCCACTCCCCTGGTTTCTCCAAACAGGATAAAACCACCCTGAGCAATAGATACCTGTTTCTCTTAAACAGATCCAGGATTGCTGAGATCCCTCATTTCCGGCCAGCCATGGGGCTCTTCGTCCTGCTCTCCCTGACTGTCCTTTCAGGTAAGACATGGGAAGAAATGTCACCAGCTTCCCCAACTTCCCAGGGACCTTCCAGTACCATCTCCTCTCCTACTTACTAGCGGCAACTGCCGAAGGAGTGGGGTGAGGAAGTAGGAGGTGAAAATAGATCTTGTCCAAAATAGTTCTTGTTCTTAGCTCTGATTAGAGGGCTGTGGGGGGTTTGAAACCCTCGGCTAAAATGAGGGCCCTGCATTCTCTCTCTCAGTTTAAGTTCCCCTTCCCTTCCCCCGTCTCCCCTTCAAAAATGTTTGTGCAGACAGACGAGGGTAAGACTTTCCCCTTTCTGCCCATTCTTGACGCCAAAGACAAGACTCCAAGGACTGGGCTGGCCCTGGCTCTGTCGCTCCAGCCATGTGACCTTGGAGAGTTGCTGGGGTCTCTCTGGGTCAGCGCCCCTGCCTGTAAACTGAGCATCACATGATCTTCCTTGTGAGGTTGATATGAGAACAAAATGCCAAATGATACCCATTGGTACCAAGGACATGAGCCTGCTTTGCAGGGTGGTCCCGCTCACCGTGAGCCACACTGGAGGTGGCATTTGAGGGGAGCCCAGCACATATCTGGAGGCTGACACGGATGGGTTGCTGCCCCCATTTCTTCTCCTTGGTTGGACACTTCCCCAGCCACGGTCAAGCTGGACGTGGTGTGCACGACTTCCTCGTTATGCAATATCGAGGTCTTGTAGGGAGGAAATAAGAAGTTCTTGGTCTCTAAGAACAGCCCCATACAGTCAACAGAAGCCCCCAAACCTTCTCTTTTTTTTTTGAGGGTCGGAGGTGGACTGTGGGGGAGTGTGGCTGGGGGCAGAGGATCTATGAACAGTAAGCCTCAGGCTCTTCAAGCCTCCCGTCAAGCAATGTTGATCAGCCTCCTCAGTTCTTGCAGACGGGGGTCCATATTTTACCAGCCCAGAAGCGTGGGAGGAAGGCTTCTCCAGGGCTGCTGTGTTCATTTGCTAGGCCTGCTGTAACAGGCATCACAGACCGGGCGGCTTTGACAAGAGATTTATTCCCATGTAGTCATGGAGGCTAGAAGCGCAAGGTCAAGGTGTTGGCAGGCTTGGCTTCTCCTGAGGCCTCTCTCCTTGGTTTGCAGAGGGCCGCCTTCTCGCTGTGTCCTCACATGGTCATTCCCTCTGCCACCTGTCCTAATCTCCTTTTTTTAAGGACAACAGTCATGTTGGACTAGGGCCCATTCTAACAACCCCATTTCAATGTAATTGCCTACTTAAAGGTCCTATCTCCAAATACAGTCACATTCTGAGGGACGGGGGTAGCACTTCAATGTATGAGTTTTAGGGATCACAACTCAGCCCATAATAGTTGCCAACCCCAATCAGGCAAAAATCAGCCTCCAATGTTTTCATTAATTTTCCTCTAGGAGGGCAGGAGCTGCAACCCGTTAAAAGAACACTGGTGTTTTCGTACATGTGTGTGTAGTGTTTTTTTATTTCTTATTGAACTTATTGGGGTGACATTAGTTAATAAAATTATGTAGGTTTCAGGGGTACAGCTCTATAATACATCATCACTGTAGTGTGTGTCCACCACTCTGAGCCAAGTCTCCCCATCACTGTTGGTCCCCCCTTACCTCTCCTGCCTCCCTGTGTGTGTTTTTTTTTTACAGAAGCCATGGTCATGGACAAAAAGGTCAAGGAGAGCTTTGTGCTGGACACAGTGTCTGCTGTCTGCAGCTACGGCGCCCACTACAAGGACCATCTCAAGTACTGGTGCCGAGGCTACTACCGGGACTACTGCAACATCATCGCCTTCACACCCAACAGCACGGGCCGCGTGGCCCTGAGGGACACGGGGGAACAGCTCATTGTCACTGTGTCCTGCCTGACCAAAGAGGACGCGGGCTGGTACTGGTGCGGCATCCAGCGGGACTTTGCCCGGGATGACATGGACTTCACCGAGCTGGTCGTGACTGACTACAGAGGAGCCCACACCAGTGACTTTTGGTCTGTGAAGGGTAAGGGGCATGCCAGGGGTCTGTGTGGGGGTGCCCTACAGGGGTGGCTCAGCGAGCAGAGTGCAGTGTCTCGTTCCCTCGACCTCACTCCTTGCAGGGTACCTTTCATGCCGCTGCGCGTGGTGCCTCTGCGTGACCCAGCCATCATTCACGCTGTGGAGATTGAAGGGATGCCAGAGAGAGATGTAGAGGCAAAGGGTGGGCCTTGCTTGGCTCTTAGCAAATCCTTTCTGATGCAGATGCGTCAGGGAACATGAACAGAAGCTGCAGGGCTTCCAAACCTGTGTACAAGGCAGATCACTACAGGTGAGCAGACATGACCATTGACTCACACCTGCCACTTTCAGCTGCATATTGTTTCTCCACCTCAACGAGGTCTCTCCAATGGGACCATATGGTTCCTTCCAAAAGGATATAGTTTAGGGCTCTTGGTCACAGGATGCCCTGTCGCTGTTTTCATTTAAAAGGAGGCGAGAGTGGTGTCTGATAAATGCAAGGGCAGGATGTGGCCGCCCTCAGTCAGCGGGACTTCATCTCCGTCTCCCATTGGCTGCTCTTGTGTGTGCTTGCCTCCCCCGTCCCGCCCTCTATTCTTCATTTTGCCCTGGGAGAAGATAGATGCCCATGTCTAGCCCCTGAGTTCTTGTCTCCCCTTCGGAGGCCTAACTAGTCTTGGACTGGATTCTTCTTCTCCAAGGTCCCAGGTTAGTTTCTGAGGAAGGGACTCAGCCCAGCACAGACACCCACCCACCCTGGGTGCAATCGAGTGGGGTCCGGAGGGTGGCAGCCACTCGGAAGGCATACGCTTGGCAGGAGCTGCTGGAACTGGCCGGGGCAGGAACAGGGCCGAGGGGACTGATCTCAGACAAGGGGATCCTGAGCAGAGAGTCGAAAGGTGGTCTCTTCCGAGGGACATAAAACTGTCTGTGGTTCCTTCCAGGATGTCCATTCTCATCACCTGCGTACTGATCACAGGGGTGGGGATCATTTCTCTAATGACTCACTTGTTCAAAAGGAGGAGGATTCAAAGAAACAGAAGAAGTAAGCAGTGGT